TTTTACGGAAAATTTGATGATTTATCCGAATTTGAACAAAAATGTTAGACATTCCATTTAAAAAACTGAAGGTGACTGTAATATCTCAATAAAAAAGAAAGGTAATAAAAAACAGACTCGAGAACTGTATGTCCCCTTGGATACCATGCAACTTTTGTTTGAAACATTTTTTCGTACGACGAACACCTTACGAGTTATTTGAGATCGTCATGTTAGGAGACTCACCCTGTATATCTACTCGTATATCTCATCCGTAATACTGCCAGAGAGAAACTCTGATACTGCCTATATTGTATCTATGCTGCGGTGGACCTGGAGGTTCTTATCTCTGCTACGGTGGAACCGAACAGGGCAGATCTCTGCAAAAAGGTTCTGGAATATGCTACGGTGGACCCCTTTCCCGAGTTGACCGCAAGGTGCAGCACTTTCGTTGCGGTTTCACTTGAGAACAAAGAAGTGAGCACTCTCAGTTTTTCTCTGTCTCAACCAGCGTTGAGATATTTTTTCCCTCGGCCGGAAAGTGGGGACGACGCGACCATGGTGGGGACTGGTACTTGATGGGGATATGCTAGGCATGGTCAGCGAAGGCGCATGAGGGGAATAGTAGTGGGGATCGAAATACGGGCGAAAAACAGGGGAGCGAGCCGTGAGGGAAAAAATATCTCAACGCTGGTCCCAACGATAACACGGGGGCTGCCACTCTTTATAAGTATCTCCTCGGTGGTACAAGTTCATATTGGCTCATGTCAGCGCCACGTTAAAGTTCTTGCAATAACTCTTCGAATTCCTAGCCGGTTAGGAGATACAAGCGAATAAAGTCATGTCTGACTTATGAGCGATTGTACTACTAGCCTAAGGAAAGACCGCTTATGTATATATTATTCAGCTCTAGGTTATTCAGCATTATTATGTTATTCAGCTTCCGCTTTATTCAACATTATAATCGCACCCATAGCTTCTAAAATATTCTCGCATTCGTAACCATTCTCACGCGTAGCCAGGACAGGAAAGTATTGTTTAAGATAGCGAGGTGACAGCGAGTCGCAACGGACCGTGTGCGGCCGCACCGCGCGACAGGATGTTATGAGAGATAAGAGCGACAAGGTCGACAAATTCCTAAGTCCACGTTGGACTTCATCGCCGAAGCAATTGAATAAGATCGACAGTGGTCATACGCGCATCGTGACTAGAACTTAGTCAATAATTGTAACTCAAGTGTATTCAACATAAAGAATATATTCATCTTTATCATTTCACATCATCTCTAAATCACTCAAGTCCTACTCAGTTTCTGCTGCATCGCCACGGAAGAGAATCATCGTACTTACCTTCCGGCTGGAACGCTACGGAAGAGAATCATCGTACTACATCGCTACGAAGGAAAAACATAGTACAGAGACGCTTGGAACACGTTTCTGTAAGGAACAACTCTCGAGACGGTAGTAACGACTATCGTCTAGGTACATCATACGTACATCAATCGATGCCAACCTTCTACGGGTCTCCGGGTATAACACGGACGCAAGCACCGGTTGGCCGAAAGACTGCAATATATTTATTTAATTCACGAAGTAACCCGGTGTGTAAGCCGTGTCCGCCACCAGCACGAGCAAGACCTCCGGGACGTGACAAATTGGTGGCAGCGGTGGGATCGTTGCAGTCACCGTAGCAGAAGAAAGGCAGCATCAGGACATCGAAATTTCATCGAGCGGAAACCGCCAAGGTATCAATCATGGCTACGAGAGAAACGTTGAGATAGCGCACCGACTGGAGCACAGCAGTGACGTCACCACATCGGAACGCGCCGAGCCAAACTCACCGTGGGAAGCAGCACGTGTCACCCCCACTCCGCCGTACCGGCCAGCGTACATATTGGAGCCCAAGGAGCTCTCAGACTCCTGAAACTAATATTGGCGGGAGAAAACCGATGCAAAGACTGTTGGCAGGAAAATTGGCGGGAGAAGACCGAGGCTGATGCTGCTGTTGATAAGGTAAGTATAGTGATAATTGATGTAGATATAGTTCGTTAATCGCGTTAATAATTAAATATCATGACGAGTAGTGCAAACAAAATTAAGATTCGTAATTTTCAACGAGCATGGTTAGAAGATGAGGTTTTCGCGAATTGGTTAACTCACTCATCAGTAGAAAATAAAGCGCTTTGTATTGCATGCAATAAAACTATCCGGTGCTGCAGAACAGATTTAGTTCAGCATGCACAGACGGCCAACCATATGAAAAATATAAGTTCATTTAGCAACAAAGTCACTGACGTTAATGACAATATTTGTGATAGTAGTAATTCTAATTTTTCTGTATATTCTGACGTAGCCAGTACTAGTAATAGTAATAATAATGATAATAGTAATTTACCTCATAAGGATAAAGTTAAACGTGCCGAAATTAAATTATCAGCTTTTTTTGCAGAGCATAACGTAGCTTTTTGTGCGGTAGAGCATTTAGTTCCATTATTAAAAAACGTTTGCACTGAACCCGAAGTTGTACAGGATCTTTCACTTGCCCGGCATAAGTGCACTAAAATAGTAAAAAATGTTATTGCTAAACGCGAAGTTGAGAAAATTGTAGAATGTTTAAGAACATGTAAATTCTCCGTTTTAATTGATGAAAGCACAGATATTTCCGATAGGAAATTAATGTGCATAGTTGTCAAATACGTATCGCCAATATCTCGTAACGTCAACACACAACTACTAGAATTATTGTCTCTTGACAGTACAGATTGTTCCGCGAGTAAAATTTTTGAAACTTTTAAACAATTTTTCACGAATAAAGCAATACCTTTAAAAAATATTGTTGGATTAGCATGCGATAATGCATCCGTTATGGTCGGATGCAATAACTCTTTTATGACCTTTCTTAAAATTGAAGTACCGGAATTAATAACTTTAAAATGTATATGCCATTCTTCCGCGCTTATAGCCAGTCACGCTTGTGATCAATTGCCTTCTGCTTGCGAAAAATTAGTTCGCGGAGTTGCTACTTATATTTCGGGCAGTGCAAAGAGATGTGCAATTTTGATTGAATTCCAAGATTTCTTCAAAGTTCAACGGCTCAAAATTTTGAAATTGTCAAACACGAGGTGGCTTTGTTTGCAAAAATGCGTTGTTAGACTTCTTGACAATTGGGACGTTTTAAAAAGTTTTTTCATTTTAGCAGTAGTAGAAGATAAATTAAACTCTGCCGAAAATATTTTAGAATATTTGAATGATCCCACAATTAAAGCCTATTTACTTTTTTTAAAATATTCATTGAACTTTTTCAATACTTTTAATGCCCTATTTCAATCACGTAATAT